AGTGCCCCATCGTTGGTGTCAGTGGGGAGGAGGAATAGTGCCCCATCGTTGGTGTCAGTGGGGGAGAGGAGCGGATGCTCCTTCTTTCAGTTCGGTCGCTCGATCTTTGCGGGGCCGCTCGGCTCCGCCTCCTCGCCGGTGATTGGTCGCCTGTGTGCCTTTCCAGTGCTGACGCCCAATCACCGGTGAGGAGGCGGAGCCGTGCGACCATCGAGCGGTTCCGAAACCCGAACTGAAAGAAGGAGCAGCCGCGCTTTCTGGACCGGATCGTCGTGGGACCGGGACCGGAGCCAGGTAAGGTACAGCAGCCCCTCTGCCCACCCCTGTACTTAGTGTCCGTTGGAGGAGGGAGGGGGAGGGGGGGGGGGGGGGGGGGGGGGGGGGGGGGGGGGGGGGGGGGGGGGGGGCGGCGCTGCCCCTTGAAAAAGTGCCGCCCTGACACTGGCTCGCCGTATACCGGCGTATAAGACGACCCCCGACTTTTCAGAAGATTTTCATGGGTTGAAAAGTCGTCTTATACGCCGGAAAAATACGGTACATACATTCTGGGCTGGAGGTGTCAAAACTGCGTTCGCCCACGTTTCATCTGAAAAAAAAAATCTCTGCCTTTAGTTATACTTTAAAGGAAAACTCTTATAGCAACCATTCAGATTCAGGAAAGATATCTTCATAATTGTTCCATTACATCTTGCCAAAATCAACCAACTGATTCTCCTTTGTTTTCTCCTTAAGGTTTGCAAAGCTACTTCTCCGCCTTCCTGCCCTGCGCTCTATCGGTCTGAAATGTCTGGAGCACCTCTTCTTCTTCAAGCTCATCGGAGACACTCCAATAGACACCTTCCTGATGGAGATGTTGGAAGCCCCCCACCAGCTGTCTTGAGGGACTGTTCTAAACAAGCCTGGCATTGCTCCTCCATCCCCGAGAGTCAGCTGTAGTAGACACATACTCTAATAGACCTTTTCCAATCAGTGGTGGTATAGGCACCACCCAAGCTTATCCCGAGAGACTGCTTGAACTTGGCCATTCACTGCTCAACGTCCCCCCCCTACCCATTTGACAGTCCTTGGTCCACTTCTCTAAAGACAGCTTCCACATCGGGATTTAGATGGAACATACCTAAAAGAGTCCAAAATAGGCTTCTTCTTTAACATGGTAGATGTGCACCCTCAAGAGTTTGTAAATTGCAGAAAGAGATTTGTAAACTAAGACTACTGCAAAAAAAAAAAAGGCCTCCATTGGTGACGAGGAAGCATCTGAGCACACGCCAGAGATGAATCTTTGATTGAGACACTCCTATGCAATATCTTTGATCCAAAAGTGGTAACTATGCTAAACATGGATGTCTCGAAAGAGGTCGTCACCCACCCCGGTGCATTGTCCAGCTTTTTGTGCCCCCCTCTAAACAAAAACACGTGTGAGGCTGGTTTTAGCCGAGCAGGTGTCACTCTTCTGAGAGGCCTGAACTCTATGACGGAGAGCAGCGGCAGACATTACTTCTCACTAACTCAGAATGAAGAGACTGCGGAATGGCACGCCAGGAATAGACTGTGCTGACATTTTGTGGTGTATACTGGGAGTTGGCGGGGTCGGTTTCTGGGTTCCGATAATACGTAACAAATTTATTTTAATCAGTGGAGATTTCTGTTGGGGGGGAGGGGGGATATAATGGACCCTGTTATTCTCTAGATCTGTCTCGCTGTTGTTTTTTTCCCCCTTTTATTTGAGGTGCCCTTTTTGATTACTGCACTTGTTAGGGTGTAGGGGAAAGTACCAGGGGGTCCCCATAGGGTGGAGAGGACTTATTGTAACCTTGATTTTTCTTGTAGCTGTTTTGGGGTATTCATGACTGCTTTGTATTTTTGGATGCCTTCAGGACCTCTACACCCAATGTTCTCCTCGGGGGGTGAAAACACATCGAATGTCCTATATGTTTTTTTTTTTTTTTCTCTCTAAACCGTTCTCTTAAAATCATTGTTGGTTTTGGAAGGATGATTATATTGCACAGGATCGTAGTACTTTCTTAAATAAGAGTTTGGGGAAATGAAGACCTGTTCCTGAATAATTCTGGAACTTGCAAAAGGTGGGTTTTTAAAGGAAACCTGATGTGAGGTGGAGGGGCTAGGGAGGTGACATTGCTTAAAGCTGAAATCCAGGCAAATATACAGAAGATGTGAATAAATCAAAGAGTGCGCTAAATAGAAGTAAATACAAAAATTATTAGTTTAAAATAATTAATAAACGAATAATTTTTTGTATTTACTTATATTTATCGCACTCTTTGATTTATTCACATTTTTACCTTTTTTTTTTTGGTTAGGAGTGCAGCTTTTGTTCTATTTAGTTTGTGGCGCTTTTTTTTCTCTATTTCTCATATTATAAATATACAGAAGAAATGCATATATGGGAGCTATTTAACATGCCAAATTATTGGGGTTTGTCTATCCTGTCCTGAGAGTCACACAGCTCTGCCATCTAGCAGATCCTTGTCTGGCAGGAGACCTGATTTTTCTCTCCTGCAGTTAAGTAACGTTTGCAGGTCTTCTCCCTGCCCCAACCTGTGACTGGACAGTGAAACAGCAGATTGCGGAGCTAGTCTATCTCTCCTCCTTTCGGCATGCTGCTTGTTAGCACGTGAGCATTGCAGCACAACTGATTTGGCGCCTTTTATGCTGCTTCTCCTTTTTCCAGTTTGAGCTCTGTTGTGTAGAGTCTCCACGAGGCTTATACCAGGAAAATTCAGATATTTGCACTGCTTTGTGTTTAAAAAGAAAAATGAGTGTGAGCTGCATTATTGCGTGTGTCTTATATTTGCCTGTATTTCCACTTTAACATTTCCAACGATAGCTGCCTGGCTGTCTGACTTCAGTACGTTCATGGATGTGGAACAAGCATGCATGCTGGAAATTCAGCGTGAAATCAGAACTCCTGGTCTGCATACTTGTTCAAGCTCATTTCAAACATGACAGCCAGGCAACAAGCCTTTTCAACACTGGCAGCTTTCCTTAAACTCCCACCTGATTACTTAGTTTGTCCCTGTTGGATGAGTTTTTAATTTTCAATTTTTTTTTTTTTTTTTTTTTTTTTTTTTTTTGCTCCACAACATTTTTTGTGGAGTCTCTGTATAGAGAGTTCTTGGGGGTGCTTGACTTTAATGTTTTTGCTATTCTTCCAGATTTTGTTCTGCTGCTAGACCCTGCTCCTTCTGGTTTATTCCCTGTCTTTTTTTTGACTATCCTGCCCTTTTTTTTTTTTTGCATCCCAACCCCCCCCCCTCCCTTTCTGTACTCTTCCTGTTGTATCTTTTAAGCCTCCCTTTTTATGAATGACGTTTCCAGGTTTTAAAGATGTTCTGTCTTCTGGTACAATCCCTGGCGCCTGCTAAGAGGGAAACGGTTTGCACACAGTTCTGACCCACACCTAGCTAAATACACTTTCTAGGAGGCAGATCCTCGTAGGAGGGTCCTGAACAGACTCCTCCCACCTTTTAGCCCCACACTTTATTCTGCGCTCGTTCATTATTCCTGTTGCTTGGAATGAATATTAAAGAGAATTTAGCTCTAAATTCTGCTTTCGGTTTTGTTATTATTGTGGGTTGGTAGCCAAGGGGGTACTGCTGTGCCTCTTGCCGGTGACCTACGTGCCTGCCAGTGGATCTTATTACCCAGCTGAGTGTAAGGCAGCACTGTGGGTAGGCAGAAAAGCGTGTTCCATGGCATAGTGCTGTCTGCCTAAGAAAGGGATGCGGTTGGGGCATACGGCAGCTGGGACCGCCCATACAATGATTGGGCTGTTCTGAACTGGAAGGGGTGGGTACCAGACCTTTAACGCAGCACCGGTTTACATGGCAATAAACATTGGTCTCCTTTTATGAAAAGCTGGAGATGGAGCCATTACAGAACTTAAATGGTTAGTTTGCCACACAGAAAAAAAAATGTAAAGGTGAACGAACACCATATACAGGTGAAACTTGAAAAATTAGAATATCGTGCAAAAGTTCATTTATTTCAGTAATGCAACTTAAAAGGTGAAACTAATACATGAGATAGACTCATTACATGCAAAGCAAGATAGTTCAAGCCGTGATTTGTCATAATTGTGATGATTATGGCTTACAGCTCATGAAAAACCCCAAATCCACAATCTCAGAAAATGAGAATATTACGTGCAATCAATAAAACAAGGATTGTACATAGAACAATATTGGACCTCTGAAAAGTATAAGCATGCATATGTACTCAGTACTTGGTTTGGGCCCCTTTTGCAGCAATTACTGCCTCAATGCGGCGTGGCATGGAAGCTATCAGCCTGTGGCACTGCTGAGGTGTTATGGAAGACCAGAATGCTTCAATAGCGGCCTTCAGCTCTTCTGCATTGTTCGGTCTCATGTCTCTCATCTTTCTTTTGGCAATGCCCCATAGATTATCTATGGGGTTCAGGTCAGGCGAGTTTGCTGGCCAATCAAGCTCAGTAATCCCACGGTCATTGAACCGGGTTTTGGTGCTTTTGGCAGTGTGGGCGGTGCCAAGTCCTGCTGTAAAATGAAGTCAGCATCCCCATAAAACTCGTCTGCGGAAGGAAGCATGAAGTGCTCCAAAATCTCCTGGTAGACGGCTTCGTTGACCCTGGACTTAATGAAGCACAGTGGACCAACACCAACAGATGACATGGCTCCCCAAATCAACACAGACTGTGGAAACTTCACACTGGACTTCAAGCATCTTGCAGTGTGCCTCTCCATTCTTCCTCCATACTCGGGGTCCTTGTGCCTCTCCATTCTTCCTCCATACTCGGGGTCCTTGGGCCTCTCCATTCTTCCTCCATAGTCAGGGTCCTTGGTTTCCAAATGAGATGCAAAAGTTGCTCTCATCAGAAAAGAGGACTTTGGACCACTGAGCAACAGACCAGGTCTGTTTTTCTTTAGCCCAGGTAAGATGCTTCTGACGTTTGTTGTTCAGGAGCGGCTTGACAAGAGGAATACGACATTTGAAGCCCATGTCCAGGATCCGTCTGTGTGTGGTGGCTCTTGATGCACTGACTCCAGCCTCAGTCCACTCCTTGTGAAAGTCCCCAACACTTTTGAATGGCATTTTTTCCTGACAATCCTCTCCAGGCTGCGGTCATCCCTGCTGCTTTTGCACCTTTTTTTTCCCCACACTTTTCCCTTCTACATAACTTTTTATTAATGTGCTTTGATACAACACTTTGGGAACATCCAACTTCTTTTGCAATTACTTTTTGAGGCTTTCCCTCCTTATGGAGGGTGTCAATGATGGTTTTCTGCACAACTGTCAGGTCAGCAGTCTTTCCCATGATTGTGATTCTTACTGAACCAGACTGAGAGACCATTTAAAGGCTCAGGAACCCTTTGCAGGTGTTATGGCTTAATTAGCTGATTAGAGTGGGACACTTTGAGCCGAGAATATTGCACTTTTTCACAAGATTCTCATTTTCTGAGATTGTGGATTTGGGGTTTTCATGAGCTCTAAGCCATAATTATCACAATTATGACAAATCACGGCTTGAACTATCTTGCTTTGCATGTAATGAGTCTATCTCATATATTAGTTTCACCTTTTAAGTTGCATTATTGAAATAAATGAACTTTTGCACGATATTCTAATTTTTCAAATTTCACCTTTATCTTCTCCAACCCTAATCCCCACTGTGCTTACCTCTGGTGATCATGAGCTGTCAGCACTAGCACAGCCGCTCCAGCAGTCCAGGGATTTTCTGCTCTTTTCCATTTTCTCTTTGCAGCACTACCAGGACAGAGCAGAGCAATTCGTGATGGTGCTGACCAATTAGGATTGCTCCACATGAAGGAGGAAGGGTGGAGATTTCAAAACCCTAGACTGCTGACAGCTCAGAATCATCAGCGA